TTCAGACTGCTTCTGAGGTGGACGTGCTCAACCTGGAAGGAGCAGTAGGTGACAGCTTCCTGTCGTCACCATGTGGTGCTTCATCTGTTCATGGACGGATTCCCATCACACCGGAGAATGTTGGGAGGATCGGACAATGTGTCTTTGAGTTACAGCTGTTTCCTGCTTACTGGCAAAGTTTCTCCAGTAAGCACGCCAATAAATCGCCATTCTGCCCGGGTCGCGCCCTTTGGCGAAAAGTTTTGAACATAAAGTGAGACATTCTCTTGGAGGCTTTTTTGACCACATTTTAGGCTGTTCATCCCAACCACCAAAACTGTTCCTTAACATGTAAAAAGACTTTGCTGTTGCCATCAGGTGCTACTGTGATGTCAAATACTGCAGTTAGATGTGTTCAGGGATGGACTCTATCACACTTTTGGTTCAAATTGGACAATAAATGTGTTTGGGATGCAACCATTCAACTAATTTAATTGACACAAATTCTTTGCTTGGACGCTTTGTGTACTGCAGCGGTCTATAGTGCGCCATTGTCACCATGGACATGCGAGCGATTCACCCACGTTTGTGACTAAACTAGACCTGCAGTACAAACGCATTCAGCAGTCACGTGTAAAAGTCTGACAGGCTGAGCTCAGGTGGAGCTTTTTCCAAAAGCTTTCATAACCTTTTTCAGATTGAAAGTGAAATAATATAAAATATTGTGTTAATTAAAGTGCGTTAATCTTTAAAAATATAAAAATAAAAGCTTTTCATGAGTTGATAACAACAAACACGGGCTGGTAAAACTCTGAGCCAGTGACCTGAGGCTTGTTAGGTAACACATTATTATTAACCATCATAATTACTCGTTTTCAGCAGTACAAAGATGTTTCATCAGCGCTCAGGCCAAACTTTAAAATGCTGATATTGTCGCTTTTCTTCATCGCAGGCTTACAGACACAAACTCCTCACTCGTTCACTCTCACACACAAACACTCATGAACACACACCAAACCAAAACACTGCATGAACGCTTTCAGTCTCCTGTTAATGGCAGAAAGCCTTCCAAGAACACAGAGTAAAGGTACAGTTTCTGTAGTTTAGATCGCACCCGGCTTCTTTTATTTGACTTTGACCTTTCACTGTATAGGAGAGTATTTCGATATTTTTGTAATTAAGAAAATGTTTTCCAGGTTTCCAGCTCAGCCAGGATATTTTCTTCATTCAACCAGCTGTTCTAAAAACTGCCTGAAAAGCCTCCAGCATGCTGCAGCAAGAAGCCCATCTGATTTCAAAGACTGTTCCAGTACCGTACTTGGTTCTCAGACTACGTGCTTAATTGTGGCTCCTGGGCTGTTTAAAAGTGGAGTGGAAGGCAGAGCCTTCAGCTTTGTTCTGTGGAACCAGCAAACAGACTCTGTGTCTGGGACGGCTGTCGCTCAGGGAGTAGAGCACGTCATTTTGTTATGGCCACTCCCCTTTTTGTATACTCAGTAGGGTTACCCCCTGCAGAGGTTCAGTGATGGTAGTTAATTTGATTGGCTTACACCAGGGTAGAGGCGTCGGGATGGTTTAAATAGGCCTGCGCTCTCCCTCCAGGAGGGCATCTCCAGGGTTATGTTTGTTTTCCAGTTGCACTACTGGTAACGTATAGTTTTGGCTGGATCAGATGAACCTGAACCTTTAGTGATGATGAAGGGGCCTTTCTCGGATCATGTGACTCATGTGACTGCAGAAAAGGATCTCTATGATACTAGAACAGAAACTTTGTAAAATGTGATTTAAAATAAAAATCTATAAAGAACATAGAAAACAATGAAATGCAAAACTGTTTGTTTTTGGTTTTTAAGGGGGGAGCGAGATGATCATTCATTGTTAATCGTCTCCAAGTACTTGCTGCTTGTGTTTTCTGGGGCTTTCTGTGTAACATTAAAGGGTCTTTACACTCTAAATCTGCTGCGTGGAGGTCGCCAACTTTGGCCTATGAGCTTCATCCAAATTGTAAAGCAGCTTCCACTGGACTCTGGAGCAGTGGCGACATTTCTCTGGAGTGAGGAGTCTAACTTCTCCGTCTGGCAACTTGATGGACGAGTCTAGGTTTAGCGGTTGCCGGGGGAACAGTACTTGTCTAACTGCACTGTGCCAAGTGTAACGTTTGGAGGGGGGCTGTTTGTGAGGAGTTGCTACTTAGTTTCACTGAAAGGAACTTGTATCGCTTCAGCATAGCAAAACATTTTAAACAATTTCATGCTCCCAGTGGAACTAGTTTGATGATGGGCCCTTTCTGTTCCAACATGGCTGTGCGCTGCTGCACAAACTCCATGACGACATGAGTGAGTGACTTTGGTGTGGAAGTGGAGTCCTATTCTTAACCCAGTAGAAAACCTTTGGAATAAGTTGGGTCAGAGATTGCCAACCAGGCGTTCTCATCAAACAAGAGTGTCCAAGTTTACAAATGTGCCTCGTGAAAGTTTATTCAAAATTCCCATATTCGCACTTCTAAACCTTGAGGAAAGTTATACGGTTCAAATTCCTTGAGCCCCTGCTGATTCTGCAAGTTTGCCCAATAACAAAGAAATGTTCAGTTCATAATTTCAATGGTGGGTTTATTTGAACCGTGAGAGACGGAACCATAACAAAAAACGCACTTCAATTTACACATTAATTTGCATTTTAATGAAGGAAATAAGTATTTGACCCCTTTGAAAACGTGCTTTAGTACTAGGTGCCAACATAGGTTTTGCCAATACCAGAGGTCAGACTTGTCTTGTAGTTGGCCAAAAGTTTTGCACACATCTCAGGGTGGATTTTGTCCCACTCCTCTCTGCAGATCTCCAAGTCATTAATGATTTCACTGAGTCAGAACATTAACGCTATCTGAATGTGCCCAGCACTGCAAGTATGCCGTCATAGATCAGGTTTTATATATTAAATATTTCTTCCCAGAAACTCGCGAGAGCAGGACCAGAAAAGGTGGCCGACGGTTCCTCCCTTTCTTTGTATTTATCACACAATGAAGACGTAGACAGAAAAATACTGTCCAGCTTTGTTAGAGAAATCCAAACAACGAGTGACTTTGTAAATGCGTTTAAGATAAGGATGTGGCATTAGTCGTTTTAGGTTTGGTCATCGCTGGCGTCCTGCGTGTGTCTTTCTGGTGTTGATGGGAGCTCATCACTGTCAGTGTACAGTGATGAGCTTATTTATGCACACCAGTGTAAAGCAGTGCTCTCATTATTTACAGGCAGTAAATCATTTTCCTTGTCAGAGGTACTCTCTTCAATCGTGATAGGATTGTCGTGTCTTGCATGACATGACGTTGGTGCTGGTGGTCCATTCATCTGGGACTAATTCAGCCATGTCATCTGTAACTCCTGCAGTATCTGTGTCCAGCCGCCGCCGCATAGTTTATGTGAAAAACAGTGACACAGATGTTTACAGGAACCGTTGCAGTTTTGACTGCAGCTACAACTTCAATATGTTACTTAAATTCAATGTTATTCATATAATGCCAACAGTCAAAGCCTCTTGGCTGCTCTGCATTGTGACGTTAGCTATGACTCCTAACCACTCCAGGGTATAAATGGTTTGTGTTAACCCTTCTAGGGCTGCAATACATTGAGAATTTTGAATAATTCAATAATAAAAAAGTCTTGACGCAGTGTTTACTTCTATGCTTCCTTTAATGCACAGCTTTGCAGCGTGCCGATATGTTAGACCAGAGTGTTGCATCCACTGAAAACAGACCTGCAATACAAGCAGCATCTGAATAAAAGGTGACGGCGTTAAGCCCACACAGCCCCCAGTTTCAAACAGAAAGGCAGCAGCGGTGAAGACGCTGCACAGTTTTAACGTGAGACTGGAATCTGGGCCGCATGTGTGTGTAAAATGAGTTGGACACCCCAAAATTCAGATGTTTAGCCATTCACACTGGTCCAGCCCAGTTTATCTGCCCCCACCCAGGTGGGGACGGTGATTCAGGCTTGTGGGTGGGAGTTGGGGTGGTGGCTGGGACGGATGGATGGCAGAATGAGAGGTGAATGAATACATATAGTATGTGAATAATTATTTATTATCTGAAAGAGTTTGTATACATGTAAAAGTTTCTTCTTTGGTTTGGTGCTGCTTTCTTCAGACGTTTTGTTTTTGGCCGTTCCAGATGCTCACCTGAGGCAGGTCGAGTATAAAAGGAGGCCAGTCGCCTTCAGCGGGCTGAATTCCTGTTCCAGTAATAAAGGCCAGAGGATGAGTTTAATTCAGCCTCAGGCCGCTTTGTTTGAACCTGACAGTGAGACCATCTGTGTGACTGATCATACAACAGAAGCGTGGGCTTCATTTACCTGTGTGTGTGGAGATGTTCTCATCATGTGCAAAAAAAATAATCAATTTCACCGTTAGACTCATGACACGTGCATGTCGGCCAGTTTGTTCTTACCACTGTGCACATGTTAGTCAGTTTGCCTCCAAATCCACAGGCTTGTGCTTACATCTTGTAGTCTATCTGCATACCGCCACGCCCCAATTTCTCTATATAAGGAAACAAGGTTAGCTGGAGAGAAAGCTGTGACTGTTTTTAAAGAAGGCAGCACCAGTAAGGCAAGAACGCAGGAACAACTCGGCCTGAAGAAACTAACAAGGTCCAGAAGGAAGACAGGAATGGTTCCACTGTATGTGGGCCGGGGCCAAGACATTAGACTGAGCAGTAAGATCCAGGCTGTGTGCGATAAGACAGGCCTCTTTGTCATTTCATTTTCTTTAGATGTTGGTCATTTTTAAAGAAAATGTCATTTTAATCCTGAGCTTCTGGTTAGATTATGATAATTTGGTAAACTGCTTTGCTGTAAATAAGAACCAAAGAGAAATAAGTGTCGTTGTTAACAGTAGAGCTTGTAAAGAAAGACAGGCCCTTTTAATTTGTTTTGTAACCCAAATTCAGGTTTTTTCTTTTCTTTCATCATGAAACATTTGCGCAGATTTAATTGTATCGTGTGTGTGTGTGTGTGTGTTTGTGTTTGCAGCTCGGACCGGAAAGGTGATTGCTGAGTTTGGGCGTTTGTATGAGCAGCAGTACGCGGTAGCTCTGTTCAACAAAGTTCGCTTTGACGTAGAGGGAGGAGGAACCCTGCAACCTCAGCTGCTTCACCGCAAGGTACAAAATCCTCTCTGAAAGCTCTGCTTTTATTCCAAACACCAGCGAGTGATCGTTGCAGTAAGGATGTCCCACGTGGCTCATTGTTTTGAGTGTCACACTGATGCTGCTCACAGATTAGCGAGCTATGTCTGTTAATCATTTGGATTATGACCATAGTGAGTCCTCTTGGCTCTGAATGGACAGAGAGAGACTTTAATGACTCAAAGGTTTCTCTTCGGTTTCGGTGTCACAGATTCCTCTGGAGAACAAGGCCATTTTTTCAGGCTCCCTCTTCCAGTACTTGGAGGAAAACAAGAAATGGAGGAACCACTTCCTTTCCATCCCAGACTCCCATGACGTCAAGTACTACGACAGCAAGGCGGTGAGACGGGTGCAGTGTTCTCTGTACATGAGCAAGTTTTACTCACTGTCTAATACATCGACTCTGTTCTTCCTTGGCTTCACCACAGTCCCATGACAGACTCCTCCATCCCAAAGGAACCATCAGCTGTGCCGGGTATAAAGTCCTGACATCTATGGAGCAATACCTGAATCTGATCAGCAACAGCTTGCCAGGTGAGGAGCGGGTAGGTAAGGAGAGTGTACTTATTACAGTAGGAAGGGGAAAACTCGAATCAACAGGAAACTCAGTTCATCAAATGCAATGATTTATTGTGGCAACTTAAGACATGCAGTCAGTGGGGTCAGCTTAACTGGTCACTGTGAACGTGTGACTGTGAGAGCCCTGTCCAGGGTGTACCCTGCCTCTATGGTAGATATAAGCTGCCCGATCCTGACCCCTGTTGTTCAGTAAAGACCACAGCGGGGTGAAGCTGGGGTGGATAGTGTGCATCCAACAACACGTTCCAGGACTTCAGCCTTACTGGTTGAATGTTGTTGCTGAAGGCACTGAGCTCTCTCTGTGGTGAAGCAGACCAACATTTCTCTTAGCTGTTAGTTGAGAGCTGCCATTGTCTTAGCTGTAAAAGGCTGATGGGGTAAAGCACACGCAAATTTGTTAATGAGGAAACTGGAGAGCGAGGATGCAGGAGTTTAACACTGAAACTGCAGATGTGTCTTCTTGGAGGCTGGGGGGGGTTGCACTGGCAGCCACGGTGTTTCTGAATGTTGCTGTACTCAAGAAAAGGAAATGTTGACTGCAAAATCAGAAATGTTTGCACACCATCAGTGAGCACGGACAACATGAAGTCTTTTTGTTACCCTTTAACTCTACAGAGAAACTTCAGTGAGGTTTTCAGTGTATTATTAATGCAACGGTTTTATTTTTAGGTGTTAAAGCCAAGGTGGGAAGTTCCCCCTTTCTAAAGTGTGCCACTCCGTACCCTCTGATAATGTGGCACCCTTATGCCCGCCACTACTATTTCTGTGTGACGACAGAGAAAGAGCAGAAGAAGTGGTATATGGTACTCCAAGACTGTGTCAGACACTCCAACAATGGTGAGTCATGCTAATGTAATGATAGAATAACCCTTTATTGTCATTGTGCGTGTACAACGAAATGGTGGGTGCTCCACACCAGCTGTGCGTGGTGTAAAACTATAATAGTAGGACAGAGAGAATGAATAACAAACTAGAGGAATCTATGCAAAGCAGGAGGAAGGCACACGTTAGACAGGCTGCAAACGAAGAGCTGCTACTTTCAGTTTCATTCATGTTTGTCAGAGCTCTGGATTCTTCTCTGTGCTGTAAACAAAAACTAGATCTGCACGTTGCTTTTCTGTCTTCTGTGCTCCTGCTCTCTTTTCCTTCTCTGCTTTACTGACTCTTAAGTCTGCTGTGATTGAGACTTGCCAATAAAGATGTCAGCTCCTGACCGGAGCTATAGCAGTAACTACATACGGGCCATAAAGTCCCAGATACTCTGACTACAGTGAACGAAATGAAGTTGTTTTCATTAAATACCCTGTGACACAGTTTAGTCCTCGTACTGTCTCTCACACACACACACACACACACACACACACACACACACACACACACACACACACACACACACGTTTTTATGCACATCTAATTGACGTCGTGCTTACAACCATCAGAAGTGAAACTAAAACAAATATCCTGAGATAATTTAAATTTAACACTAAATGTGATTCAGAACATTTTTGCTTTTGTCTGTCATAACAGTGCCAAATCACTACAACAGTTGCCTGAAGGCAGTTTATATTGTAAGGTCAAGACTACAATACAACAGCACGATTGGATCTGCACTCTGGGAAGGACAAACGTTTAACAGCAATCACAGCAGGGGGTGTCTGTCTCCTGAGTCTGAGGAAGCTGAAGGCTCTGCCTCTCTTTGCACTTTTAAGCACCATAGGTGCCACAAGTAAACCAGCAGCCTGACAGTACAGTGCTCTGCTGGGATAATACACTTCTATGATAAGGTTTTTGTTTTGTTTTGTCTTTTCAGAATAATCTGCTCTCTCTTTCTAGTCCCTGTCAGGACTCTGGCTGCAGCATTTTGGATCAGCTGAAGGCTTTTCAGGGAGTTTTTAGGACATCCTGATAATAATGAATTACAGTCGTCCAGCCTGGAAGTAATAAATGCATGAACTAGTTTTTCAGCGTCACTCTGAGACAGGATATTTCTAACTTTAGAGACAGATATGCAGACTGAAGGGCAAACATGACTCCACGAACCCTCAGTCTCACTGGAGGCCAAAGTAAGACCATGCAGAGTGAGAATCTGGATAGATGCTGCATTTCTACAATTTGAAGGCCAAGTACAAGAACCTGTGTTTCATCTGAGTTTAGAGCAGGGGTGGCTCAGAGGCCACACTGACTTTTAAAATGTGACGGGCCAGCACCAGATGCATGCATATCAAACATAAACATTAAGATCACACTTTTTTGTCAGTGAATCAGAATCTCCGGTTAGTTTTGTTGTGGCAAGAACAGATCTGAGGTGTTCATCACTCAGCTGGGATCTGTGGGTGCTGCTTTGTCTGTTCACACACATACGTGGAGCCAAACAACACCAGCATCCTCTGTGACATCATCTGGATGCTTGGTCCCCTCACTCTAAAGTGCATTTTACAACTGGCTTCACTGCGTGATCGAGGTGCAGCACAGACTTGCACAGGGCTTCCTGGTGGATTATGCAGTGTAAAAAACCAACCTCTGCTCAGGGTTGTACTCTTTCAACCTGCCCTGGATTCTTCTGAGCAGCCCGACTTTTGTTCCAGTCAGATTTGGCGATCCATCTGTGGTGGCCTGACGAGTGTACTCCGAGGTAGCTTGTACCTCTTGATGACCTCTGCCGCGTGTCATACAAGCCCTCTCCCCACGTTTTCCTCTTTATGGATTGCATGGCCAAAAACTCCTGTTATCTTAAAATTAAAAATGAATCCCTCTGATACAAATTAAAAGCTGAGCAGTGTCCTTACACAACTAACCTATAATTACATGGCAAAACAATTACCTTACCAAGGTACATACATTAGTTTTAATTATGTAGTAAAACTAACTTGCAGATATATCCTAGATGTTGTTCAGACACAGTTATGAAATCTGATCATTTTTACTCACATTTCTCGTGTAAAACACTGAATATGAAGCCAACAAAATTCATTCATTGTAAAAAGTCATCTGGGCTCCTGCACCCGACCGACCCCCAGTTTAATAAGTCATCTGTTCATTCACCAGCTCACAGTGTTTTCTTCAGCAGGATAAAATGATGACACTGTTTGTGTGCTATGTGTTTAAACTGCAGCTTGGTTGGTTGGTGGAGGCGAACAACTAAAAACAGTTAACTGTAATTTATCCATCCATTAGTTTATATTTACATTCAAATGAAGCGTGGATCATTGTAGGAGTTGTGTGATTGATGATCAAAGTATAAAAAGTCTAATTAATTGTGGTGAAACAGATTTGTTCCACTTTTGTTCTTGTTTGAAATCGCCTGGTACCATCTGAAGGAGAGAAAACTCCATTATTTAAAAGAGTCTCCTTAATCTCACGATGCTGCATTCTGTCATCAGCCCTGCTTTCCCTCCTGTTTTACCTTCATCATTTCTCTGATAGAAGACCTGCAGTTATCAGTTAAAAGTTCACTGACGGCTGCTTCTTCAATTCCAGGTTTGTCAGATGAGAAAAAAGTTCAGACACCAGCCTTCACTAATGCAGTGCGACTCTACCGTCAAGCTCAAGGCCAGTATGGCACCTGGGAAATGATGTGTGGTGCACCGTCACAGGTAGCGTTGGCAGAAATGTTCTTCTGTGGCCTCAATCGGACTTTGGGGGGGGGGTTGGAAGCTGGGATGAATCAGGTGCTGTGTCATGAAATGTAAACTTGATGTCCTCCCTCAACCTGATTTTTCATTGAATTGCGACACGAGGTTATTCAAAGTTTTCACCAAACACCTCTGATGGTCAGAAGATTAAATGCTTTATGCACATGTTGCATCGTAGTCAGGCCCTGCTGTGCATGCTTCAGTGCTGAACAGGTTTTTCTAGATGCTTCTTCAAACCCAAATCACATTTATGTCATTTAAATTAAGTTATTGTCTAATGCTGTGTTTTTAAATCATTCTGTTTGTCTGATTATGCTTTAAAAAGGCGCCCACAAATAAAATGTAATATTATTAATTATGTGATAACAGACTTGGTTTGATGGAAGCATAACCACCTTACGTTGTCTTCTGTGGAAGAAAACTTAATTGCACGCGCTGTAGTTCATCTCACATGGCCTGTGTGAGTCCCTCTGTTATGTTCTGCTTCCTTACATGTGGCAACATGGAAAACGTACAGAGAGAGGTTACCATGACGATCACACGAGCGACTGTAAAAATGCAGAGCGCTCGTGGTCCTCTTATTTGTATGTGGGAATCGTTTTCCTTGTAGATCTTGTCTAACCTGGTGATGGAGGGCCTCCTCTCGGAGCTGAGAGACCTCATCTCCCCCCGCCTCAAAGGCAAACTCCATGAGAGACAAAGGAACTGGATACTGGTGAGGAACTACTCTGGGATTATTAGACTCAGTCTTTAGCAAAATAAGTGTTAACCTGCAAGTTTGGTGGATACTGCACCAGTGATTGGGGGACTTGTAAATGTTGACATCACCTGTTTGAAATGCTCCTTGTTCTTCTGGAACTTTTCAGGGTCTTTTTAGCACTTTTGTTTCAAACATGGTGCTATTTTGCCAGAATAACAGGAACTTTAATGACAAAGGTGTTGTGTGATTCATTCAGATGTACACTACCAGTCAAAAGTTTTAGAACACCCCAATTTGTCCAGTTTGTCATTGAAAGTTATGCAGTTGATTGTCTGATTGCACTCTGAAATAAACAATAGCGTAGTACAAATAAGCACGTGGAGTTAAAAAAAGAAATCATTGAATCAGTTTATAGACTAAAATGTATTCTAACCTTTGACTCACCAAAGTAGCACCTTTGGCAGATAGAGCAGCTGAACAAACCTGTGCCAGTCATTCTACAATAGAAATCAAATATTCCCCATGAATGTGGACCTTGTCGCTGCTTTGCTTTCCCTCTTCTGTCCAGTTCAAACCAGCTGGATGGGCTTTAAGTCTGCAGACTGTGCTGCACACTCCATGTTTCCAAGCTCACCATCTTGTTCTTTGTTCCTGAGGTAGTTCTGGCACAGCTTGGACTTACGTTTGGGTCGTTATCTTGCAGTAGGATGAACCCCTGACCAACTGCACACCAGAGGGTCCTGCATGGAGTGCTGTGGTAGCTGTTTTGGTTCAGGGAGCCTCTCACTCTGTACGAGTCACCGACCCTGGATCCAGCAAACAGCCCATCACACTTCCTGCTCCATGTTTGACAGTTGATGCCACACACTGAGGATCCGTCCTTTCACCTACTCGACAGCGCACAAAGACGTGATGAGCCCAAGATTTCAAGCTTTGATTCATTAGTCCATCTTACCTTCGTCCAGTCTTCAGTAGTCCAGTGTTGATGTTTCATGGCCCAGACAGACCTGTTTGTCTTATTCTGACATCTTCTGACATCTTATCAAAGGCTTTCTTGCCGCAGCTGACGAGCGTATGGCACCACGGTGTGTCCAGCACTGCTTCTATGCAGGCAGAGGGGGGAGTAATCCAGAAAGTTGGAACAGCTGCAGGAATTAGTAGCAGCAGCTTTCGAGGCTTGATCAACCTGCATTGCTGCAGAACAGTTTTAACCCGTTAACCCTTGTTGTTCCTGAAAAAGGCTTTTTGTATGATTCTGAAATGTACATTATTTTTCAGTTTTGAGTAACTGCACCTTTGTTTATCCTCTGGCAGTTCACCCTCACCTCTGTACCATTTCAAGCTGTTCATTGGACTGAATGACTTGAATTGCAGTAAATAACTGGAAAGATTAGGGTGTTCTAACTTGTGACTGGTAGTGTATGTATAAGCTTGGAGCTTATTTTAGTAATGTGAGTGCAACAGAAAAAAAGCTGATCTACATTTCTTCAAAGGTCTGTAGTTCCACAGGACCTCTCCAGCAGGTACAGCCCAACTGCTTGCAAATTCACCTGTAAACTCAATAGTCTGTTACGCAGATATACAAATATATTCACTGCATGCATTTTCCAAACCATTTAGGCTACTATGTGACACTTAAACAGACGATGTACTGCACAGGTGTGAGTTTGGCAACATCAGCTGTGTGTTTTGTGTTTGTAGATCAGTGATGCTGTGTACAGCCTGGTGCAGGCGCAGTGCCAGACGCAGTATGAAGCAGTGTTGCAGAAGTGTGAGGCTAACCGCTCTTCTTTAGAGGCCTCCATACGAACAGACGTGGACCAGATCATCACATCCAAGGAACACGTGACCAACAAGATCAGAGGTTGGATAAGAGCAACACTTCTCCTCATTCAGATACTAGCAGCACATTTCTCAGAGCATTTTTCATCTTTGGTTAGTTACAAGCCCGTCATCGATAGAATACTCATGGAAGTAGAAGTCGTAATAATAACTGTAAATGTTAAAGCAGTGTTGTTCTAAATATCTACAGGGCTTAAAATTCTTACTGTGGGTTCAGTTTTAGCTGTAAATGTGGATTCATATCTTAATAGGAACGTTTATTGCTTGTTTCTAAAACTGCACCATGGCAAGAGTATCAGTGAGAATGCTTGTGTATAAACCTATGAAACCTATAGTTTACCTGCTTTGGAACAAAGGAACAAAGGAATGATGATGCCAATCATCCATGCAGTTAGATGATTGGTTCTAAATGTAGCTGTGAGAGAGAGAGTAGCCAGAGAGACGTCCAGCAAGCACAAGGAAACCAGACAAACTAACAAAAAGGCCAAATCAGCAACTAACTTACTGTTACATATTTGTAAAAATACATAACGTGTGTGTGGAGATGGATGGAGATATGTAGATGTTACATTGTCTTGGTTTAAAAAAAAAAAAGATAATAAAAATATAGCAATATCTCACAGTTTGATATTTTAACATCACTGTCGACCTGTGGAAAGCAGGGAGACAGTTTCAGAAAGTTTCAGCTGCAGATAGGAGACATTAAACCAAACAAAGTTACTGAAGGGTAACTTTTTGAATTGTATGATATCTCAAGTCAAGTTGGCTTTATTGTCACTTCAACCATATACAGTTTAACAGTACACAGTGAGGCGAAACAACGTTCCTCCAGGAACCAAGGTGCTACATGCAACATAAATTAACTAATCTAATCTAATCTACGTGTGCTTCTACTTGTTTCCAGCCAATTAACTCAGTTTAATTCAGCTTTATTTTTAATATCTCCAAATCACAACATTCACCTCAACAATCAGACAAAACCTATGGACAAGCACTTTGGCGACAGTGGGAAGGAAAAACTCCCTTTTAACAGGAAGAAACCTCCAGCAGAACCAGGCTCAGGGAGGGGCGGGGCCATCTGCTGTGATTGGTTGGGGTGAGAGAAGGAAGACAGGATAAAGACATGCTGTGGAAGAGAGACAGAGATTAATAACAGATATGATTCAATGCAGAGAGGCCTGTTAACACATAGTGAGTGAGAAAGGTGACTGGAAAGGAAAAACTCAATGCATCATGGGAATCCCCGGCAGCCTACGTCTATTGCAGCATAACTAAGGGAGGATTCAGGGTCACCTGGTCCAGCCCTAACTATATGCTTTAGCAAAAAGGAAAGTTTGAAGCCTAATCTTAAAAGTAGAGATAGTGTCTGTCTCCTGAATCCAAACTGGAAGCTGGTTCCACAGAAGAGGGGCCTGAAAACTGAAGGCTCTGCCTCCCATTCTACTTTTAAATACTCTAGGAACAACAAGTAGGCCTGCAGAGCGAGAGCGAAGTGCTCTAATAGGGTGATATGGTACTACAAGGTCATTAAGATAAGATGGGGCCTGATTATTTAAGACCTTGTATGAGAGGAGCAGGATTTTGAATCCTGGATTTAACAGGAAGCCAAAACAGGAGAAATCTGCTCTCTCTTTCTAGTCCCTGTCAGGACTCTTGCTGCAGCATTTTGGATTAACTCTTTTAAATTTATTTATTTTATTTCACCTTTATTTATGTAGGTAAACCTCATTGAGACAGTCTCATTTTGAGCAGCAACCTGTTTTAAATATCCTCACAAAACTACAGCTTGATAAACATACTGTAGTCATTATAATTCATATAACAACTAATTAACTGGAAAAAAAATAAAATAAAAGACAGTAACAATAAAACATGAACAGGAGCAGCCCTGATGCTTCCTCCGTTGTCCTTAGGATTTGTTTAAAACCCTTCAGTTCAGCATTGTAAGAAAATGCCTTCTCCCCACGTTCTGTACGTACTGAAGTGACTGATAGAAGCTTGTGAGTGGAGGTGTTAGTTACTCTGTTTAGGTAACACACAGGAAGGTAGATGCACTGCTAGCAGACAAATTACTGATGTATAACTGAACAACTGGAGGCTTTATTTACAGGTTGTCACATTTCTAATTTGACATAACGATCCCAGACGTCTGCCTGAAACTGCAAGCCTGCTTTTCTCTCTTGTTTTGCAGCCGTGGTTCTTCCTAAAGCAGAGAAGCTGCTGAAGGTGAGCATTCAGCCCTACATCAGCTCCATCCTAGAGGCCCTGCTGGAGCCCACCAGCCGAGGGTTCTTCGAGGTCCGCGAGGTTTTCTTCCGAGAGCTGGTGGACATGAGCAAAAACGTCCTGAATGAGGGCACTAAGGAGATGGTGGCACAGGTGAGCACGTAGAGGAGGTCCTCCTAGAGAGGGGAATTCAGTAAAGGAGATACTCCCTCTGCCTCCATTGAACTCAGAAACATTTAGTGACATTCAGTGCTTGTAATCTATTCCTCTTCCTCAGCACATGGAGAAGATCTCAATGCTTGCCTTCCATCCAGTGAAGATGTGCAGCTGCTATGAAAAGGTGATGCAGCTGAGTCTGGAAGGTCTGGATCAGAGATTTGACATCTCGAGCCCCTCGGTGTTCATCCAGAGGGTCCAGATCCTCATGAGAGAGGTGATGATCGCTTACTGGCAGCTGGCTTTTCAAAGCAGTGCAGCTTTAACATATTGCTGGAGGTCTAAGTGATGTATTGATTACAATCGTAATTTACTGTACGAATGGTTTTCTGATCAAATGTATTTTTAAAGATCTGCATTTTATTTGTTGAAAATTTCATTTTATTACATTTTCTAATGAAACAACACATTACAAACGATATAAACGGAGGAGAGGGAGGAGGTTACAATCAGCACTTACTGGTAAATAAACATCACACACTTTGAAAAACAAACTCCCCGCTGTATTAGGAACTTGACCGTTCTCAGATCCCTGAATGTGTAACAAATACAGGCAACGTAAATCAAAATGAATATAGTGAAACAAATGATTCACCTTCACTAACCCAGAACAGAATGCAGTTGGAAGGAAAACAATGACTCGAGAAACAAGTAACACACAAACTCATATCAGCTGACTTCCATGAAAAGGCGAATGCATTAGAATCACTGATGTGTGCTCTGAAGAAGCTTAGAACACTAGCAGACACTAAAACATAAAACACCACAAAGAAATGCTCCCGTCTGGATTTAAACATCTCTTATGCAAATATCCTCCATTCCTGTGTATTAAATCACATACAAAGTACATTATGTTGTCGCCTTCATCTCTTAGAATTGAGATGTTCACTGATTGCTGTAAATTTGTCAGGATGAGATCAGAAAGTTTTATTTCTAAAGAGAATAGTTGAGTTATTATTGAATATGAAATACTTTGTGGTTTGTTAGTCTCACTGTCCGTGTTTGAACTCGAAACATTTCCTGCCTCCTTTTCTGAGGTCAACGTTACACTGCTTATGTCTGCTTTAATTTTGTGTGAGCATCTCTCTACTCTCAGTGTTGTAAGAATAAATTAAACTTGAATAGTTGCTGCTCAGCTTGCAGAGGAATTGAGTACCATGAACACAACAGGACTGCAGGAAGGCAGCACTTCTGAATGAAAGTGTATTTGCTTAGAAGGGGAAGTATGACTAGGTGGAGGCACATCATGGAGCATCAAGTTTTGGATCAGTTAATAGATCTTCTTTCATATCATATTTATGTGATAATTGTCAAAGTCAAGCTATTATAAAATATACTGATACATTTGAATGCACTCGTGATAGTGTCCCCATCTGTGTCTGTTTACAGCAAATGGACAATGCTGTTTATACATTTGAGCAGATCCTTCACCAGAGTCTGGAGTCTCAGGGCGGTGAGGATCTCTGTAAGACTATCCAGCGCTGCCAGGACAGAGTTATCAAGGTAAAACACGTGATCAGTAAAAACCTGTTAGATCACCATTTTCTCCTAAACCAGAAACACATGGAAGAGGAGGACTGGGGTGGTAGATTTGAAGGTTGGTGGTTGGATTCGCTCCACTTTACAACATCCATATAGAGTGTGAGCATATTAATCCATCCATCTTCCTCTGCTTATCCTGGGCCGGGCCCAGAACACCTCACCCAGGATCCATCCTTGTCAGATGACTGAACCACCTCAGCTGGCTCCCTTCGATGTGGAGGAGCAGCGGCTCTACTCTGAGCCCCTCCTGGATGGCTGAACTCCCCTATCTCTAAGGGAGAGGCCAGCCACCCTTCGGAGGAAGCTCATTTCGGCCGTTTCTTTCCGCGATCTCGTTCTTTCGGTCACTACCCACAGCTGGTGACCATAGGTGAGGGTAGGGACGTAGATCGACCGGTAAATTGAGAGCTTGGCTTTTACACTCAGCTCCCTCTTCACAGACCGGTACAGTATCCACATCAGTGCAGCCGCAGCACCAATCCATCTGTCGATCTCCCGCTCCCTTCACCCATTACTCGTGTACAAGACTCCAAGATACTTGAACTCCTCCACTTTGGGGCAGGAACTCGTGGCCTGTTGAGCTATCAGGGTAGAAGTGCCTTAGTCAGGGAGGTCACCACAAACCTGATGGTCTCTCTGAGCTCCGTCGCTGCCCCGTGGAGAGAGAAGAACCATCCAGAAGGTCAACAATTTCTGCTGCAAAAATGCTTCAGCAAGGGGGAGGAAGACTGGAGATGGAGCAATACTGGAAGAGCATATGGGAGAAGGACGCAACACATAACGGCAGTGCTCGGTGCCTATTGGGTCTAAGAGCAGACCACAGCAACCTCCCTGAACTGGGACCAGTAACCATCACAGTGGCAGACATCCAAGAAAGGGCCAACAACCTTCCTCTGTACCACATGGAAGCTCCTGTCAAAGCATTCACATCATAGCGTTGTGAATGCTTTCCACATATACTGCATTTGTTCAAAATGAAGTTACAGCTTATAGTTGCCATCTGACACACACACACACACACACACACACACACACACACACACACACACACACAGTAAAGCTGTCCTTTTCCTTCTTTCCTGTGGTTCAGAAGTTTGACTATGACAGCAGCACAGTGAGGAAGTGTTTCTTCCGCGAGGCTCTCTTGCAGATCTTCATCCCCTACATTCTAAAGCAGCTCAACCCTTGCTTTGTATCTGTGAGTACATCACCTTCTCTCTTCCCCAGAACCTGGAAAATTAATAATGCACATTTAGCTTTTTGTTTCTGTAACAAAGAAAAGCATTGTGACTGGTTCATTGTTGTTTGTTCTTGGTTTCATTCTTCTTTGAAACACCAGGAGTTGCCACGCTTTGAGGAGCTCATCTTCGAGGACTTTTCCCACTTCATCCTGGTAGAAAACATCTTTGAAGAGGTTGTGCTGCAGTCAGTCATGAAGGACATTATAATGGGTCAGTCTTCTTTGGTGGTATATCTGTATCGATGAAGAAAGACAGAGTGAAAGCAGTCAGAACTGAGGGCCTTATTATACTACCAGGAGGCAACATTGCAGGCAGTGCAATGGGTACCATTAAGAGGAAAGCCTGCATGGACTCACAAAGTAACAAATCAGACAGGACATGATGAATGTTGATCAAGACAAAAAGGTTTCAAAGCAAAATATCCTGTCACCCAGAGAAAGCCAAAGCACACTCTGCAAGTATTCAAACGACACAGTTCCCCAGAAAGGTCCTCGAGTCCAGACGGGTCATCCACTAATTCCTCTGATTCCTACATTTGGTACATTATGAAAAATCGGCCTTGAATTGTGCAACAGATCAAAGTGATGCAACACAGATGCTGGTATCAAATTCTAAAGAAGCATTTAGTGTTTAACAAACGTCTCCGTGTAGTGGTCACAGCTGCTTTCACTGTGATAAGATATTCAGATTAAATATGATATAAAAGTGGCATCTTGGATCCATTTAACCCGGGAGATCAGCATCATTCATATTGGTCCCCGCTGTACTCTGTGCACACAACATAAGTCATTGAACTTATTGTGAGAATCCACATTTGAACCCTTTTCTCTCTGTCTGCAGCTGTAAAGGAGGCGGCAGTCCAAAGGAGACACAATCTGTACAGGGACAGTATTGTTCTGAGCAACAGTGACCCCAACCTGCATCTGCTTGGAGATAATCCCTCCATCGACTGGGCGGGACAGTACGGAGGCGACCAGGAGGAGGTGGATGGGGCAGAGAATGATGCCGAGTACAATGGTGAGGTGGAAAGTGTGACGTCCCGGAAGAAGAAAAGAGTGAAGCAGGTGGTGTCCTTGATCCAGACGAACGGCACCGCTGTCCTGCCTAGCGAGTCATGCCTGGAGGTGCCTGGTGTTGAAGACATACCAGAGGAAGATGGAGAGGGGCGGAAAGAGAATGGAGCTGGGGAGGAGAACTCTGAAAACAAACCTTTGTGTGACCAGAATGGATTTGCAAGTCTCAAAGCCTCCACAGGGAAGCCAGAAGACGACAACGAACCCGAGGAGCAGCAGAAAGAGGAATTCCAGGCGACCGAGTCTGCTGGAGAGGGAGAGGAAAGTCAGGCTGTGGCAGAAGAGCAGCCATCATCCAAGCAGGAGGAGTCGGAGGTTTTACTCCTGCCTCCTGCTGCAGCAGCACAAAAGGAGTCTGAGATTCAGGAGACGAGCGTCGCTGCAGGAGCCCAGCGACTAAAGTGAATCCTGCCCGCTTCTTTTTGCTTTTCCCGTTTATACCAAGTTTAAGACACTAAATACCTTTTTTAACCACAACAACCCAAACTTTGTCTTCACCTGGTAGAAACATGAGCACCGTCTGTGTGCTGTGTATAAATGTGACAAGCTGCAAGAGCGCCAGGATCGAGGTGCCTTCAAGAAGCTGGATGTTTTCTGTGGTTTGACCTTCAATCGGACTTTTCTAACTGCGTGATTCAAACTGTAAGCATTAAACTGTCACTGAGTGATGAGCAGCTTAAAGAACGTGTGACAAAAGAATGAATCCTGAGTGCAGACGATCGTGTCCATGTCAGCACGAGTTTGTTTTGTGGTGGTGGGAACGGCACCGTTTTACATCAGTAACAAGAAAGATTTTATTAACTGTCATTTTACATCATTTTCTATCATTTCCACACTTTTTCATTTTTAGATTGAAGTTTCTGAAGCAAATGATTTATTGGTAATAAATTATCGATCAAAAGTATATTTGTCATCGTTTCTGTTGCCACGTGCACACCAAGGTTAGTATAGGGAACTAAACAAAACTTAAAACTTTAATGAGAATTTTATTTCAGTTAGTAAAATGTAAACAGTGAGCGGCGTACAAACTGCTCCTGGACAATAAGAAACACAAGCGTCACCACACATAAGCTGTTCCAGGTGATCAGGACGTTTCTCACGTCCTTTCCACCTAAGAACTACATCACGGCAGGATGGAGGTGTCTCTGTGTACATGCATAGACTAAGGTGACAGGTAATGGGTGTGAATGTGTAACCCATATTTCTAATGACCTGAATCCTGAAGAACGTCCCTGTAGAGACGAGCAGAATGTCAACTGTTCGTTTCACAACAGAAAACTTTCTGTTCAACTTGGAAATGAGCAAAATCTGAGGCTATGATTTTCTTTAATGTTTGACATTTAGGTGTTTTTACGGAGCAGTTCTGCGTCGTCCTCCATCCTTTGCTCTGGTTTGAATCTCTGTTACTCATCTATTGATCGCACAAATGTTCCACGTCTTCTTTTTGTGTGTTACACTTATTATAAACACATCCCCGCGTCACTGTTGGTAGAAAACTAAAGAATTGAAACTGTATTTGCCTTTGCAGTTTGCACTTTCTGAACAATATTCCCTGGATTCAAATCAACTGTGGAGAATCTTTTACTGCATAAAGTGTTTTTAAACTGTAGATTTTATGAGGTTGACTTGAACAACCCTCTGTGCACTTTTCCACTGTGTGCTGTATTTCACTTTTTAAACTCTGAGCACAAATAAACTGAGGACATTTTTCTCCAGTATTTTTCCTTATGTGCCATTCTTATACTTAGTTGCAGTGAAGTTGCATGAGTATTTATAAAAATGTTTTAATCTAGTATTAGCATATTTGCAGAAGAATCTGAACAGTTCCTCTGACACTGCTGTAAATCCAGAGTTGCTCCTTGACCTTTGTAGTCAGACGTTACTTGTTCCCTTCTGTGAGCTGCAGAGCAAGATCACTGACCTGGTGCTGGGCGGGTTCATGGGCTCGCGTAGAAACAATCCACTATATCAAACCTAAACATTATTAAGACCATCTGAAGGAGACGGAGCCTTTTGAGCGCTCTGTCTGCCTGCGTCACACAGTGCAGCAGTTTTGTAATTAAAGAGCAACATCTTTACAGGAGCAGTGAAGCTGTTATTGCTGGATACTGGTCCAGGCTGATTTGTGATTGGATGCTCATGTCTTCACGCCTCTGTTGCTTTGAGGTGCCAAGATTCTCATCTTTACAAATCAAAGTCATTTGGCCTGAGCTTTGAATATGTGAGTCGTATGTCTGTTTATTACGAGTACACACACGTATAAAAGAAAATCATGATTTTTGCTGTGGACTGTGACGACTCGTGCAGGATATCCATCCACCGAAATACCAGAATCCAAAGTGTGAATACGGCTGGACGACAGTATCAGCCAACACGTCGGATTTAAACACGATTGGGAAAAGGATGCTGGGTGAGCGCCACTAACTTCGACCAACAGAGCGAGCAGCACACTGCACTGCAAATTCATTAAAGCACCTCCACAGAAACCAGTTGTGCTTCCAAAGAGAAAAGCAGGAAGTAATTCAGCTGTAACTCAAGTCTATTCTTTTTCTCTACATTTAACAGAAAGTCTATTCAGGCATCAGGTGAATTCATCCTCAGTCTAACCAAAGAGGCATTTCTGCTCGGCAACATAGATTTTCCATATTTGAACTATTGTGAATCACTTAATGTAAAATCATTTCCAGACGTGTCTCTAATGAAAACTTGAAGATGAGTCAGAAAGAACAGGCAAGGTCAAAGGTCGAAGCTGCTACCACTGTTTCACTTTCATTAAAAAAAAATGTAATTGACATTAAAAATGTATTTTTCAAAAAAGATTTCACTAAAGGGGCGAAGGAAACATCACAGTACTATCAAGAGATTTACAGCTGCTTAAAAGCACAGGAATAAAGTCATGAAGTCACAAAGATAATTAGTAATAAGTCATTTCTTTTTTTTATATATATATAAACCCTTCAAATTCCCTCTGTGAGCAAAGGTACACAGAAAAACTGCGAATCACTTTTTAGCACATCAGCAGAACAGTGTGAAGTTCATGAGAGATCACATCCACTAATGTATTAGCAATTACTGAGACAAATGAGATTTATTTCCCCATTTCCATGTCTGGTGGAAATATCTCATAAACATAGGCGTGCAGGCTCAGTGGAAACAAAACCTGAGAGTCAAACAGCTCACATCACAAGATCCCAGCAGCGTACGTTACAAACAAGCTTCATGGTCCACTGAACGTCTGAACCTCGACTATTTCAGATCTAAGTGTGAAAGGGTGAAATGTTGCAGTTAGTCACAGTTAGTGAGATAATCTAATGAAAGTCTTTTAGGTGGAAACACATTTAATCTTGTTTATTTGTAAATGTCACGGCAGCTTCTAGCTTGTGCAGAACAAACACTGATTCTGTGACAGCTCAAGTCTGGGGAGATAACTCGCATTTAATATTCTGCTCTTGCTCTTTCAAGCACAGCAAAGCAGACGAATAACTCTTCAACAAGTGACAGGTGTTCTGTCTCCCCGTTAAGAATGCCGACAGGTGTTGAGCTTGTCGGCGTTTGTATAACTGAGTCACTGTTGTAACTAACAGGAAAAGTGTCTGTTTCCTTTAAAGCCTGGAGTGACCTGTAGGACTTGTTCATCCTAATGAATAATAACACTCAGGTTTTTGTCTTTACTGTTTCACAAAGTGAAATAATCAAATCACTTGAATTATATTTATCTAATGAAACTCTGAGCTAATGCTGATTTGACTCTACTCTTTGGAAGAAGCGAGATTAAAGAGGAGAACGAGCACATCGAGGCCTGAAGACGCACTTATTTCTTCTCTGTAGATACAATCCAACAGGAAAGGAGGCAGCAGGAAACAATAAAATCCAAATTCATACTGTAACACACGAAAAATGAGCAGAGAGAGGGTCCACAGTGTGCAGGTGGTGCTGGCTCCTTTGTTGTTACTTGCTGCAGTTTCTAACTGTGGAGGCCTACGACTCAATCTTCAGATGATGTCTCCTGCTCATCATCTTCATCATCATCTTCCTTTCTGAGGAACATAGGTCGTTCTCCTCCTCTTGGTCGTGACAGCTGCTCAAATGCAGGAGAAAGACCATGGGAGGAGTCCCTGGAAATATGGGCAGCCAGGTCGGGAACATTGATGCAGATATCAGGGAGCAGGAAGTAATCCAGTCATTTTTGGTTTTAAGAACCATGACTTTTAACAAAGGTCTTCTGAGTAATGCATTACTTTTTTCTGAGTAATGACTCCAACACTGATCACAACAAAGAGGGCAAACACCTCCAACATGCACCAACATGTGACCACACAGCATGAAGTTCATTTGCATGAATGTAATGATGGTGATCAGCATCATCGGGGTGTTAGACCGCACATAACCTGATTATCAACTGAATCATAAGTGATATCAATAATAATAATAAATAAATTCTTATCTGTACACATACCTAATCACAGTACTTTGTGTGCTGTACACTCATAATTCAAAACTCCCATTGCTGAAAAAAGAGCATTTTATTCAACATATTAAGAACAAAAAACACAGAACAAAAGAAAAGTTAACATAATAATAATAATAATAATAATAATAATAATAATAATAATAATAATAATAATAATAAAAAAATAATAATAATAATAAAATTAATAATAAAATAATAAAAATAATAAAAAAATAATAATAATAATAAAAATAATAAAAATAATAATAATAATTTAAACAATTAATAATAATAATAATAATAATAATAATAAAAATAAAAAAAATAAAATTAATAATAATAATAATAATAATAATAATAATAATAATAATAATAATAATATATAAACCAAGTGCAGAGGACACCTTATGGCACTAACTTCATGAACTCTTCGTGGAGATGATCCTCTGCGGTGTCCTGGCAGCCCCCCTGAGAGCAGCCAGAGTGGAGACTTGGTGTTGTGGGTGGAGTAAGATGACTCGAGCAGAGCGTGTGTTCAGTCCACGTCCCTCCTTTTGTACCCAGTGATGTGTTTCCACCCTTCCACATGTTTCTGGGATCAGTGTAGTAAAAATCAAAATAACCGTGTAGCACATGTTTCCGGTTTGTGCATTTCCTTGTTGCTTTCATTCCCACCGGATCTCCGGGTGTAAAGATTAAGTCGACTGTGTTTCCTCTATTTCTTTGTATTTGACGGAGATGTTTTAAGAAATTTGTTGAGTGGACATAATGCCCCACATGTCCAATCGCACATTGCTCGCCTGGTTACACCAGGTTAGCTACAGACCATACAAAGGAGTAGTAGGGCCACATTAAGAAAAAACAATATCATTTTGAGATAAAACTCGAAATTATTTAAAAGAAAAAAGATATAGTTACCATTTCAAGACAAACAGCTGGACCCTCTGAGTGACATCATGCTCCAGGCTCGGTTTAACAAGGATTTAAAGGGTTTCTCTTTTTGCACACAAACATTGTGACGATGAGTATAAAAACATGTGATTCTGCATAAAGTGATATCGGACTTTAGACGCGTTTGATGTCAGCGGCAGGTGAAGGCCGTGCAGCGTGCTTGCGTCATAGCCTGGCGTCGTTCTGCCACAGCTGAGCCTCAGCAGCAGCAGCAGGGACTGCTGTCCGGTAGGAGCAGGGCCGGAGGAAAATGCAGACATCCTGCGGAAAACACGCAGAGCAGCGTCCCGACGACACTCGCTGATCCTCGTGTCTTCGCCGTTTTTCGTTATTGCTTTGTCTTCTTGCGTCCCTCTCCTCTCTAAACACCGGAGGATGGGGGAATGATCAGTGCCGCCACCATCTCCCCGTCCTCCGCCTTCGTCTGGTGTCTGTGCCCAGGATGAGGGCTCGTCTGCTCGGACACACGGTGGTGTTCGTTGCCCTCTTGGCGCTGAGAAGCTGCCTGGCAGGTAAGGAGACGCATTTGGAGGCTTTATGAAACCGCGCGGGGCCTCCGGCACTGCGCACCATCACCCTGGGAACAGTTCTCATTGTGGAGGTGCTCTCTACAGAAATCCGTCTATGAGGATGACATCTAATGGGCATATGTTAGCCCAGTGAATATATGAAGCCAGTTACTGTTTGCTCCATTCAGTGTGTATATTGCTGTGTATATTATGGGATTTCAGTCTAAAGTGATTTGATGTTGTCAGCCTGCAGGGACAGTGTTTATCCTAACGGGGATTGTCTGTTTTTACCTGCATATACTGATTTATTTGAAGATGACTCAGATGACACTGAGTCAGTAACAGCTGCCGTATGAAAAAGAAGTTAAAGGTGACGCTACAGCATAGCTTGTAATGGTTGCATCATGCTGGTCGTCACTGAGTCTTTCGTTTCCAGGGTTAAGATGTGCACATATGTTTGCTGGGCTCTAGTGCATGCATGCCAGCGCAGTGCAGACAGTGGGGGTGGTACTACAGTAGTTCTGGGGTATTCTCACCCTGTGATGTGTGGTGTTGTGTCAGGCTGGAAGAGCACAACTGCACAGATCCTATTAGGCAGCGAAGAGGAAGAATATGTTTTCCAGGTGTTGTTCCACATGCATTTGTTAGCAAATCTGTTATCTAAACAGAGTTTGTTTGCTGTGGCCTGGAGGTTCTCAGGAGCACATTCCTGATGTCACAGCTGAAGAGCTCCCTGTCACAGACGTCAGCGGCCACGTAGAGTCATGCTGATGACACAGGTCTGAAGTTCCAGTTCCTTTTATAGCTCATATCTATAGATCTGTGATGCTTTTAAAATCAATATACATCATTTAAAAAAACAGCTGTTTCTGTTTCCAGTGGTGGATTAACCCACATTTGGTGCTTTAGTTATTGTGTGTGGCAGAATGGGGGTACATACAGAACTGATCCATAACATATCACAGTCTGTGTGGTCAGTGAAAGAACATGCCGCTCAGTTCACCGTGGTAGCCCACTGTGTCTAATACTTCATGGACAACAATGGTTTTATGGGCATTAATGGCCATTTGTAAATTAGCGCTTGCTGGATGCACAAACAACCTGAACGCCTAAAACGTGCCAGGGATCAGCTGGTGTTCTTATCATGTAGTATCTTTATTCAAACAAAGGTTCAAACGAGTGTTTGTCAGATGAACGAACTGTTAAGAATCTCGGTTCGTTCAGTTTAGACACGTCAGGCCCGTAGCGATGACTGTTGATGAGCTAAATCTAGACTCCTGTTCGGGGTGTTCGACCACAACCTGATTATGGACCGTGCTGTGTGATGGAGACCACAGCTGCTGTCTTATTTCTGTGCAATGTGCTTGGGTAACATATGGGCACTCTGCCTAATGAGTGGGCATTTAAAAAGTGATTTTTGAATAATTAAAGGTTTTCAAGTAAATGTTTAAGTCTCCGTAGCAGTTAATATTCCTAAAGAGGGATGTTTTTGCTGTACTGGAAATAAAAATGATAGAAATGTATTCATTTGCTTCTCATTGCCTGATTTATTTTAGCTTCGTTTTTGTTTGTTTGTTTTTTAGGTATAACGTGTAAATCCACTAGACTGTGTTATGTTTAGCAAACTGTAACAGTCAGAAAACAAAATGCGAACTACCTTTGCACAACTTTATAGAAAGTATGGCGATCCAATCTCATTCTACACATGGAGCTGTTAATGCTTAATTAGGTCAATGCCAGTTTGATGCAAGCTGTTATAGTTAAAGACTTACAGTAACGAGGAAATACACCAAGTATGCTGATCCCTCTAAAAAACCCTAAAATATTTTGGTGTGCTGTTTCTTTACTACCCATTTGAGATTTGTAAGATTTTTATCAGAAGAATTCTTATTATATTTCTGTTTTATTTGTAACACATCACATTTTATTATATGTGTTTATTTCTATGTGTGTGATTATTAAATGGCCGCATACTCACATACATATTTATGTAAATGAGGGAAGGTAGTCAGGACTAATCTGATTACACTACCAGAAGGAGAGATTGTAGACAGGAGTACAGCTACAAGGAATACAAAGAATTCCACAGGGAAATGGGAACCAACAGGCCAGGAAAGCCACAACACCAAACACCTGCACACGGTCACACAAGTCCTTAGGAACTGATACAGTGGGAAGAACCAGGATCAGACAGAGGCTCAGGCAAGTCCCGAGGAGTCAGCTGAATGCTAAAAACAATCTGCCTGTCGTCAGATACCCTTCATAACCAAGAGGCACCGTCATGGAAGGGCTGGTCCCTGCACAGCATGTCCCACGGGCAGACAGAAGAAGTTATACTGAGAAATCCTACCAGTGGCTGGACTGAAAGACAGCACAGAGGCACTAATCATGGCAGCACAAGCTCTGAGCACAAGATCCATAGAGGCTGGGGTCTATCACACCAGGCAAGACCCCAGGTGCAGGCTGTGTAAAGACGAGACAATCCAGCAGGGTGCATGGCATACATGGAGAGCCATAACATTACTGACTGGCATAGTAATACAGGAACATTTGTGCCGAGTATAGTCCTGGGATCAATTAGCCAGTGACTGACGAAGCCCCATGCCACCCTAAAATCATGGTTGTAAGTGTTAAGCTGACCATCTGTCTGTCCATCTGGCCTAGATACAGCAGGCTGCCCTGACTGGCCCACCAAGTTTATTGTGGTAGGAAACAGTTGGTGCTGTTCTCTGATCCCTGTTGGTCTGCAGGTGCACATTAAAAAAATGGTAAATGGCCTGTATTTATATAGCGCTTTTCTAGTCCCTAAGGACCCCAAAGCGCTTTACACATCCATTCACACACCCATTCACACACTGGTGATGGCAGCTACATTGTAGCCATAGCCGCCCTGGGGCGCACTGACAGAGGCGAGGCTGCCGGACACTGGCGCCACCGGGCCCTCTGACCATCACCAGTAGGCAACGGGTGAAGAGTCTTGCCCAAGGACACAACGACCGAGACTGTCCAAGCCGGGGCTCGAACCGGCAACCTTCCGATTACAAGGCGAACTCCCAACTCTTGAATCAAGATCGTTTAAGTGTCTAAACGATCTTTGGGGACTCGGAATTCAGGAATAGAAACCAATATTATTGGCAAACAGATCTGAAGTTCCTTTGTCTTTTAAGGAAACACACTTAGTTATTTTCATCTACGGTGTGTGAAGGTTTGTGGATTCATCACTGACGTCTGAACCTCAGACAAATAGTCAACACAGTCAGAACTATGTGGGACATCCACTCTTCCATTAAGGCCCTTTCTGAAACAGTAAATGTATCAACAGAAGTCCCAGATGTGTCTCTCAGGTGCTATGTAATGTCTTTGCCAGATTGTTTTCCTACTTCTCTAGAATGTTACATTCAGATATAGTTCATCAGCTGCAGATAGCTGTTTAGGCTTGCCACTTTTTTTCCATCTATTTATCCAATGTCCTCAGAATACTTAAGCGACTCCATGCCAAGATCTGGCAAATGTTAAGCTAGTGGATATGGAATACCTGACTTTAAAGTGCAATTCTTTTTATTTATCCAGAGGACAGCAATGTAACATTTCGAGTGTTGTGTACATTCCCACCTCTGCAAAGGATGCACCACATGATCAGTAAGCACAAAAACACACATTTGGACAGTGTTCGCATCATTCTAGGAGAATGTAATCACTGGAACGTTTGAAAAAGCACGCCAAAACTGTTACAGTAACATCAGGAAGGCATGCACTGAACCAAGCCTTTGGTAAATCTGACCATGTGACATGTCTGCTAAGATCTGCCTACATCAGACAGCTAAAGGCTAGCCTAGTCACAGTGAGAGCTATTAATACCAGGACAGAAAGTGCACTGGTGCCACTGGTACTCATGTGCTGGCCTGCTGTACCTGGATAGCAATAGAACCTACGCTTTTCCTGGATTACAGTTCTGTCTTCAACACAATCAGACCAGGAAAGTTGGACTTTCTAACCTCCAGAGCAGAGGTGTTCAGGATGGGAGGCAGGGTCTCCTCTGAGCTCACCGTCAGTCTCAGCCCTAAACTCTTCACCCTGTGCGTCCATGACTGTGTTGCCACCTAGCTTGACACTGGCAGGATCGAGTATGCTGATGACACGAGCATCCTGGGCCTCATAAAGCTGCCGGAGGAGTCCAGTTACAGGCACGTCATCTAAAACATCACGGCCCAAACAGAGGAGAATGACCTCTTCAACATAGACAAAACATCTGAAATAAGCGTAAGATTTCAGGAAAAATGCAACTAACTAAAATAAAGAATAAACTGAACTCTGATCGTAGAAAATAACTGAAGTAAAACAAGTGCTTATGTGAAGAGGTGGTACAGGAGTGGACTGACACACGGCTGTGGGGGTCCCTGTGGTACCAACTCTATCATCAGAGATGGTTATCATCCAGGTCACAGCCTCCTCTGAACATCCAGCCTGAGCCGAGCAGAGTCTGATGATATGCACACAGCACGCTTCCATAACAGCTCCTTTCCTGCCACAGTATTCCTGATGGGAGAAACAAAATAAGGACAGACACACGCACAATCTAATTTAGTTGGTGCAATACACATTTCAACATGCAATACATCTCTAAATGACAAAGGTTTTCTCATACCACGGCGCTCTCTGAAACTACTTGACATGTTTTTTTTCTACCTATGTTTATCTGACCCTGACTCTCAGCTCTGCACAGTATTTTCTATGTACCCACATCTAGTGTATGTGTACAAATGACAAATAAAACACTTTATGTGTATCTTTAAAGGCTATTTGGGAATCATCTTGTTAATACAAAAATTAGTTTTACACATGTTAAACTGTGTGTGTAGACACAACAGCCCTTCATAGTTGGCTTTTTGATGCTTGAATAATTTATACGTCACCATTAACTCTGTTAACTGACTTAACACACAAAAACTGTTTGTTCAGGTGCAAAGATTAGACTGAAACGGTTGAAAAAGCAGCCAGTGTCCATAAAAACGACATTCCAAAGCCTGGAGAGCTGTTGCTTGGGCAGATGTTCCAAAGACAGGAAGTGCAGTGGTACAGACCAGAACATCTGGTTTAACAAGCTGTACCACCACATCTGTTGTATCTGTCTGCTTGTTCATTACACACCACTGTACAGTTGTGTACAATGTTGCTGTTTTTCCCCTAAACCTCTGATGAGAAAGCCTAATTTCTGCTATTGGACACCAAAGAAATGTCAACTTTCACAAATTATGCAAACATGCAAAGCACTTAGCTGTGTCTCAAATCAAAGACATTTCTTCTGGCTTTTTTAAACTACAAAACAAACAACTGGACAGTCTGGGCAATGAGCTATTTTATACATTTAGCTCTTACAGTTTAAGTCCAAAGAGTTGTGCTGGCAGACTTCCTTATTTGTCACAGCAGCTTTTTCTTCATCTCATAGAAAAACAGTTAAACATGTGACTTCTTTCACTGAAGATCAAAGTGGGCTGTATGTGGCCCACAGTGTAAAACGACTCTGACACCACTGGCTTAAAGCTCCCTTAAAACTTATCAGGCTAATTGTTAGTTGGAAGGAATACACAAAGAGATGAAAGGGCTTCATTAAGACTTTGCTCAGTACTTTATATTTTTATAAATATTTAGAAAATTAGCACCAAACTGAAGAGAATATCTTGTTTGATATATTTGTCCCTTAAAGACTTTTTCAAAAATATTATTAAAATGCTACAAACAGTGCTTAGCCTCGCACATAGAATATCTCAGAGTACTTTAGCCCGGCTCGTTCAGCTCCTGTGTGGGTTTGTGATGCATAAAGAAAAAAAGTTAGCAGCTTGTTTCCTGATCTGACAGAAATTTGTTCATTTGCAAACAGACGTGTAGTTTCTGTAGAAGTCTGTCAGGAAAAGACACGTTTTTGGGCTCATTTGCTAATTTCATTTTCTGTTGAACACGATGAGATGAGCGTTTTGTAAGGTCCTCATTAGCATTCAGAAGTGTATAAAACATGCTTCAGGACGGTCCTGCTTAATCACCTGTTTGACAAGTTGGTACCATTGAGGGTCCAGTGTCACTTTGTTGGTTTCACTTACGGATCTCTGCTTGTCTGAGGAGACTTTCTGTCTTTTTTTGTTTTTACACTCAGTGTAATATAGCACGGCTCAGTTACCGTCACAAGTCTGTCAGAGTAGCTGTTCTCTGTTTCCACTAAGTGAATATTTGTTAGAAATTCAAGCTGCTGGAGAAGAATATCATGTGTTTTTATGCCTCCATACTGGTGCTAACCAACAGAGGAGGCGTCACTCTGTTGGCATGTTAACACATGTCTAAGATCTAAAACATACATAATGAATTGCGTGCTGTTGTAATGATTCTGTCACTAATGGCCTGAGAGAGGATTTCACTGTAAATCCAGGGAGCAAAATGTGACCACTGAGATGCTGAAATAAAAACGTAATTAAAGTAAAATAAAAATTCTAAGTGTAAAATGAAAATAGAAACGTGAGACGTCTTCACTTCAGAGTATTTTGAAAAATAGTGCTGTGCTGTGTCGTATGTTCATGTACAGGTTCTCCTCTGTGCCCTCGGAGTTTAGAATGTGCCCTGGCAGGAAGACACTTCTGCCGGCCTGGCAGCTCCCACTGTGGGCCTTGTCTGCGCCCCCTGGTGGAAAACTCCCGTGGACGCTGCGTGGTCAAGAGGAGACATGCTCCTCACATTCATTCTGTTAAAGGTAGGTGCTCCTACCTCATATTACTCACTCTTTTCACAGGATGACCAGAATGTTCTGTATTCACGCAATTAGATTCTGTATTCCAACTTTTAGTGCATATTAGTTCCTGCAGAACATGCATTAACTTTTTGTACAAGATCTTCCAACAGGTAACCTGAGATATAGTAAATATGTGAGAAGTCATGGGAGTCATGTTTGACCAGGACATGTCCTTCAACGCACATATTAAACAAATATGTAAGACTGCGTTCTTCCATTTGTGCAACATCTCTAAAATTAGAAATATCCTGTCTCAGAGTGACGCTGAAAAACTAGTTCATGCATTTATTACTTCCAGGCTGGACGACTGCAATTCATTATTATCAGGAAGTCCTAAAAACTCCCTGAAAAGCCTTCAGCTAATCCAAAATGCTGCAGCCAGAGTCCTGACAGGGACTAGAAAGAGAGAGCAGATTTCTCCTGTTTTGGCTTCCTGTTAAATCCAGAATTCAAAATCCTGCTGCTCACATACAAGGTCTTAAATAATCAGGCCCCATCTGATCTTAATGACCTTGTAGTACCATATCACCCTATTAGAGCACTTCGCTCTCGCTCTGCAGGCCTACTTGTTGTTCCTAGAGTATTTAAAAGTAGAATGGGAGGCAGAGCCTTCAGTTTTCAGGCCCCTCTTCTGTGGAACCAGCTTCCAGTTTGGATTCAGGAGACAGACACTATCTCTACTTTCAAGATCAGGCTTCAAACTTTCCTTTTTGCTAAAGCATATATTTAGGGCTGGACCAGGTGACCCTGAATCCTCCCTTAGTTATGCTGCAATAGATGCACTGGGTGTTTCTTCTTCACTCACTGTGTGTTAGTAGACCTCATACAATTCTGAAGAATTTCTCAGGTTTTGAACATTGAAACCAGTTTTTCCAGTAACAAAGTATTAAATCTTCAGTTCCTAATTGGTGGTGTGACTGGTGCACTGATGGTGATAGAGGGAATCTGAGTGTCTGTAACATCCATCATAATGGAGCTGCTAACTAAACGAGAGTTTGAGTGGTGTGCTGAGGAAGAGGAGATGAAATCCCTGAGAGTGGGATGATGACCAAACACTGCACAGACCAAAGTCACTCAGACTGTGTGTAGACGTGCAGGTTCTTTCACTCACTGCTGGACTGAGCCTGGCAGTTTCTGGGTTGAAAGTTGAAGTCCGTATTATAAGTGTGGTGTCAGTGACCAGAGAGTGAGGTGAAAAACAATGTAACAAAGATGGGTCATTAACATTTGTTCCATAAATACTAGTACTACATACATGCATATATTGATTAAAGAAGTATTATTAATCTAACTTCTGGATCTGTTATATTGTTGCAAGTTGTGACGTTTGTCTCTCTGTTCATTAATATGGCCACACCTCTTTGGTAGAGTTGGAGAAGTGAGTGCGTACAGACGGTTTGGACAAATGAAGCTCCGCACTGGAAACACAACGACTGCCTGCAAACAACTCATTTAACCGATTAACAATTTCCTTAGAAGCAGTTCCACATGTTCCATGTTGTCATGTTTCAACTAACTCGTTGTTGCTGGATGTTCACTGTGTGTGTGTGTGTGGTGAAACATACTTCATAATGAGGGTGATGCCTCCCAGGAAAATGGCCCAGAAGACCCAGAGGATCTGCAGCCCTCCAACAGTACTGAAGACTCAAAGCCATACATCTCCATGACAACTGCGTGACCACTCCAGCAGAAGGAGGGAGGCCTCAGACTCAGTGAGCCCTCATGGTCAAAGGGCAAGAGCCCTAGAGAACCAGAGGTCAGCTCTCCTGGAGCACTGGCATGTCTCTCACACGGCACACATACAAACATACCGAAGATGCAGGAGCCCATTGCTCCTCCCACTCGTCACTGTTGGGAGTGATATGTTGGGTGCATGTGTTGGTGTATATGAGTGTAGGAGGTGCAAAGGCAGCTTATAACTGCAAACAACAGTGCTATTAAAACTGTGAAGCTGTTCACCCTGTGTACATCAGCACAACTCTGGTCATACCACCACTGCACAGACTGGGATGTATTCAAGGTGCAGGACACTGACAATCGTGTCGCATTGGATAGTTACACCTCCACTGTCTTGGACTACATCTGTTTCTGTGTGGACAATGTAACAACTTGGAAACGATTCCGTGTGTTCCCTAATAATCCACCCTGGATGACACACGGAGTTCAACAACTTATTCGAACAAGGAACAACGCTTTCAAATCCGGGGACCAGGAGGCATACAATGCTGCCAGGGCCAACCTGAGAAGAGGCATCAAGACTGCCAAGCAGCAGCACAGGAGGCGTATCGAGGCCAGGTTTGAGAACAACACAAACCCAAGGCAGGTCTGGGAGGGCATCAGGGCTATCACGGACTACAAAAGAAGAACACCATCACCCTCAGCCGACAGTTCTACTCTGGCTGAGGATCTAAATCTCTTTTATGCCCGTTTTGACAGGGAGAACACAGACCCTGTCCTGTCCCCTCTCCCCTCAACCGACCCTGCTCCGGTCCTGAGCACTCATGAGCTGAGGCGTGTGTTCCGGAGCATTAACACCAGGAAGGCGGCCGGGCCGGATGGAGTGCTGGGCCGGGTGCTAAAAGACTGTGCTGCGGACCTGGCGGACGTCTTCACCTCTATATATAACACCTCGTTGTCCTGTTCACTGGTACCATCCTGTTTCAAAGCAGCAACCATCGTTCCCATCCCAAAACAGTCAAATGTCACATGTCTGAACGATTTCAGACCTGTGGCACTCACCCCCATTCCCGCCAAATGCCTGGAGAGACTGGTCATCAAACACATCAGAGCTGCTTTTCCACCATCCCTGGACTCGCACCAGTTTGCATACAGGGAGAACCGGTCAACCGAGGATGCGATCGCCACAGTGCTGCACACATTACTGAAGCACTTGGAACACAGGAACACCTATGCACGGCTCCTCTTTGTAGACTACAGCTCGGCTTTTAATACCATCCGGCCATACAAACTCCGTCCCAAACTCCACCAACTGGGACTTAACTCCTCTCTGTGCAACTGGATTGTGGACTTCCTCACTAATCGCAGACAGAGTGTCAGAGTGGGTAAGAACACCTCTTCCACCCTTGTGGTCAACACCGGTGCCCCTCAGGGGTGTGTTCTGAGCCCTCTGCTATACACTCTCTTCACCCATGACTGTATTTCCTCCTGCGCGTCCAATCTCATTGTTAAGTTTGCAGATGACACCACAGTGCTCGGACTTATATCCAACAATGATGAGACAAACTATAGGACAGAGGTGCAACAACTAGAGTCATGGTGCCACGACAATAACTTGGTCTTAAACACCAAAAAGACCAAGGAGATCATTGTAGATTTCCGGAAGAGGGGTCATAACAACCATCTGCCTCTCTTCATTGGCAGTGAGGCGGTGGAGAGGGTGAGCAGTTTTAAATTCTTGGGGGTAACTGTGACCGAGGACCTGTCCTGGGGCAACCATATCACCTCAGTTGTACGGAAGGCCCAACAGCGCCTCTACTACCTGAGGAGACTGCGGAGCGCACACATTCCCAGATCTCTGATGTTGAACTTCTACAACTGTGCCATCAGCAGCGTTCTGACGTATGGATTTCTAGTGTGGTTCCCCAGCTGCACCAAGGCCGATCAGCAAGCACTCCAGCGGGTGGTGAAAGAAGCTGGCAGAATTATTGGAACAAGTCTGCCAGAGATCAGTAATATCTTCCCCACTCGCTGTCTGAGGAGGGTGCACAGTATCCTGCGGGACCAACATCACCCTGCGCGCCACCTTTTCCATCTGCTGCCCTCAGGGAGAAGGTACAGGTCTATACAGGCCAGAACATCCAGACTGGCCAACAGCCTGTATCCACAGGCTGTGAGGCTCCTGAACTCTCTGCCCCCCTCTCACGGACAATAACCATATCCAACTTCTTAATAGCAATGAACTGGTCTGCATTGGTGCATCATATCTTTATTCTCTTCCCCCTCCTGCCCCCCCCCCCCCCCCTCTTTCTTAAATAGATAACTATCATATCTGATATCATATCTCACAGTACAATAATATTGAATGGGTTGCATTGTTGTATTTTGTCATGTTTCTCAGGTCTTTGTCTGAATTTCTACGAACATTACTGCTAAGGATTGTCTTATTGCATTGGAGTCACACTGGGTTAAATATGTACACTTGGGTTTTAAGGGGTATTTATTATTTTCTTCTTTTTTTTTGGGTTGTATGGAAGCCCCAAACGCAATTTCATTGTTCTTGACAATGACAATAAATAAATAAATACTAAAATACTCCATACTGTGCTTGGATGTATAAGTAGGAGACAACACGGAGCAGTAGCTGATGATTTTGTGGTATGGGGTAAATATCCATACCACAAAACTCACACACATACACACCCCAAGTCCAGCACCCTGATCCATGAGAGGCCGATCCATGTGCAGTCTGTGTAAAGATGCACTCCCAGGGTGGTCGAGAATGGCCGACCTAGCATCCTATTCCAGATACAGACAGACAAAATGACAGTGGTGGTAGACAAACAGAAGAAGACGGCCGTACTGATCGATGCAGCGATACTGAATGACAGCAACATCAGGAAGAAGGAACAGGAGAAGCTGGAGATGTACCAAGGGCTCAGAGAAGAGCTGGAGAAGATGTGGGTGAAGGTAACTGGTCCCAGTGGTAATTGGAGTACTTGGTACAGTGACCCCCAATCAGAGATCTCTGTCCAGAAGAGCGCAGTTCTAGGAACAGCTAAGATACTGCTCGGTGGTGGACCTGAGCTTTAGTAAACAAATGTTTAGATGAAGATGGTAAGAATCCTGGTGTTGTGTTCCTCCAGATAAAGTGAGCCCATACCCTGAGCTCGATGAGGAGATTGACTTTCTCTCTGCAATCATCAGGGAACAGAGACCCGAGTCCTACAGCTCAGGTATTACACTCTTCTTCTTATCCATATTTGCTATGTGACAAAATTCCCTAATGAAGTAATAAATCCACACTCTTTACTTTCTGGTATTAGCCCCATCCTCCCAGGAGATCACATCCAAGCAGTTTGAAGAGCATGGCTACACTCACAGAGCATCTTCTGTGGAACAGCCTCCTACTCAGAGTGTCCTGCTAACTAGCATCGCTTCACCCACCCCTAGAAACCACACTGCCGCTCTGAGCAGTCCCATCATCCTCCGCTACCCTCCTGACGACCATGTCTTCATCAGTAAGTCTTTCTGTCCTTGAGTTAGGACCCAGCTTAATTTCAAGAGAGCTATAGAGTCGTTTTGAATAATAGAACAGAAGACGTCACCTTACAGAGGCCGCTGTGAGGATTCAACTTAAACTACTTTTCACCACATGTGTGAAAAAAGTAATTGTGCAGTAAAATGGATAAAGCCGACGCCTCCTCCTGATCTCGCTGTATTTCAGTCTACCAACATTGTCCTGAGTGCTGTGGTGTGTACTTAACACACACACACACACACTACAGGAGGTACCGTTTAATTAAACGAAATCGAGTTTGGGTTTATGTGCTGCTGCAAGAGGCCATGGTGTAAATCAGCGTCCCCAACCCCCGTTCCATGGACTGGTACCGGTCCGTGAGTCGTTTGGTACCGGGCTGGCAGAGCTGAGGCTCAGCAGGACGTTACTGTCAATGTTGTTGGCGCATTTCAGGAGGACGCTGCTGATACAGTTACACAATCACACGTTTATTATTATATTTACAAAACACCACAGTTTTTGTCTTGGTTGTTGTCATTTTGTTGTGTTTCTCTGCGACACCTTAAAGGTGTCCATGAAAATATTGTCTGACATTAAACCGTCCGTGGAGCAAAAACGGTTGTGACTGCTGGTGTAAAAGTCTTAATCCAGTTGGACCATCATCATCCAGTAGAGCTCCAGAGAAATAGTTCTTGTCCCCTCCTCAAACTGACTTCCCTCTAGAATCGTGTGTAGCAGAAATGTACACCCGCATTAAAACCACAATCTTCACACATAACTTTTTAAATAAATCACTTTATCAACGTGAGACCTCATCAAAATGATCAAATATGCAATCGTTTTCAGGATTTTAATCATTTAAGTGCCAATTTAGATTTGAATTATAAGTTATTCATTAAAAAACACATGAAAAAAACCTAATTATTTCCCATGTACTGAGCATTAAAGGGATGGGCCACAGGTGGGGCTTGGATATGTCAAATATTAGCAACACAGCTCTTTGATTGCATTAGTATCGGTGTCAGATTTTAATTTTTGCACCCTCTGGACACCAAAAATGGACACGCACAGTATTTGCAATAAAATCTTCAAACAAGTGCACGCGTCATTGGTACCAACAGACATAATCATGTGACAAAAATACGTAAAACCAGAGGGGATGATGAGAATTCCCCAAAAGAGATGCTGACTTGGATTTGCTATGGTCGGTGTGGGAGGCACATGCACTCAAGCACACATAATCAACAATTCAGCCTCCAGCCAAGTTCATGGGTTGTCAAATACACAGTTGTCAATAACTCGTCCTGATGTTATCATGTCATGTGTATCGAGTCAAACGAGATCTAAGCCCCGCCTACTTTAAAATCTTGGGACTGAACCTGAGTTTAATGCAGGACACGACAGAACTCAGACGTTGCTGTGATTAGTTCTGCCACACTGCATTACTGTTATCAATGTTGTTGTCTGTGCTGCTGCAGGAAACAGGCCTGACTCACTCACATCTATTTATTTTCAGCTGCTGTCCTTTCAGCTCTTCCCTCATTTCTCCAAGCTTTCACTAAAGGATCATGTCTTACTCTGATGTCTGCAGACCAGCAAACACTTCTATCATTCATGCTGTCTGTTGGTTTCTCCTCTCAGTCATGAGCAGCGTCGTCATTGTGGCAGGTTCCCTGGCACTGCTGGTAGCGTTGGCTTGCTGGGTCAGGTAAGCTTATTATTTTCTCTCTAAGGTGCTGCATAAACCAAAAGGTCCCCACTATCCCTCTCAGGAGTGGACAGGATGGCCTGCAGTTGCACTGTAGACGTATCCATCATCATTATAGTCATTCTGTTAGAGATGCTAAATTGATTGGAACCATTTGATTTACAGTATTTCCATGTAATTTATTGTTTTTCTTATAAATCTTAAAAAGAGATGACAAAGAAACAGAGCTGTTCAATGTGCTCAGAGAGAGAACAGGAAACTGTACGGACAAAAGTATTTGCCAAACGTCTTAATCTTTAAACTCAAGTGTTTTCCTTCCCTTTAGATTCAGACACCGACTGAGCCCTCCAGGCTTACACACACACTTCCTTAACCCAGTGTTTTTGGGTTTTTAGCTGTAAACTTTGCCCCACTCTGAGATCCTAAGCACTCTAGAAGAGGCAGTCACATAGAAGCACACATTTTTATATTTTTCTGAATTGACTTTCCCTCACTAGTCTACCCATCCCTGCCAGTTCCAGGTTTCCCGGGAGTACGTTGTTGGAAACTGTGGACAGTCTTCCTTTCATTACACCGCTACAGGATGGAGGTTTTTATGGTCTGAGAGTCATTTGGGTGACACACTACACATACTTATCACTGAGACGTGTTCTGTGAAGATTGATGGAGAAAAAAAATCTATTTTTAAATGAATCTGAAAGATAACAAAATATTGAAACAGACAGTTTTCAGACCTGCGATGTACTCTGTGGTTTCTTAAGTCTTCTTCGTGGCTTGTTTGCATGTAAGTCACAGAGAGCTGAGCTGTTCCAACCATACTGGGAACAACAGAGTCAAGAGCTGCCTCTTGTTGTGAAATTCATGAGATAATGTGTTTTGAACGTTAACTGTCATTGTTAATGTGTTATAATACAACTTATCAGCTCTTTTCAGTCAGCTCCAAATGTTTCACTATGTGTGTTTTGTTGTGTTTATTTTGTTTTATTGTTACAGGTTTCAGAAATATGTTCATATCAATCAGAAAGTGGACTACCCTTCATCTGGACTGATGAGTGCTCAGGCATTCGAGAATTTGGTGAGGAAACGATGTGACTAAATGTTTAGGAGAAAACACACTGAAAATACTTTTCAGTGTCTTTATTTGTCTCAGATCACCACTGCCTTCAATGCTGAGCGATGCAAGGATCTAAACTCTACCACCAATGCTCCACATGCAGTTCATAATCTGAGTGCTGTTTAGTGAGCATAAATGTACACAATGTAAACCCGAAACGCCTTAAACAAAAATCTTAACCTGATGAACTGTATAGAAACAGGAAACACAGGATCTGAGATATTTGGCCCTTCAGTTTCCACCTGCTGCTCACAGGAGCCTCGTCAGAAACGGCCCCGGTGAAAGAATTGTTCGCCAGAAGCAGCTCTTAACCCTTCAAAGTCCGACATCGAAGTAATCGCTGGAAAATTCAATTTTTGGAAAATGCTGTAATTATTTGAAGTTTATATTTTTATCATATTTGCTACATCAGACTTTTTTTTGCAATGTATCAAATTTATTCTAAAAGAAATCCAGCAAACTGATGATGTAGAAGCCTCGAAAACTCAAATATATTGCACAGTAAGGTAACAGTAACTACATAAAAACTAGGCTGAAAATCAGTGAATTCTAAAATGACGACTCTCAATGTAACACTTGTGGTTTAAGTCATCACCAGTGTGTGAGAGATACTGAGATCAGGAGAGGCACCTTCTGTGGGCATCTGTAAAAAGTCATGATGGAGGCTCTGGGAGGGATTGGGGAAAACTGATGGAATTATGAATTCAGAAAAGTACCATCAGATTTGTTCACTGTTAAAGAGACTCCCTGGTGGATGTCTGCCTTTGGTTCTTATTCCTGGAAGCTGCTGTGCTCTGCTGTAGGTCCACTTGCCCTTCTTCTTCTTCTTCTTCCTCCTTTCCTTCTAAGATTGTTCAGTCTCGAGTCTGCCATCGTATTGTTGCTCCCTGGTAGTTGACAGTACACACACCGAGTGGATCTTGGAGTACAGACGATCCCAGTGCATTCTTCTTTGGCAAATCTCTCAAGCTCCTCTAGATTCGGTACTCTCCTGCTATGGATCGTGATCTTCATTTAATCCCACAGATGTTCAGTGTGATTAAAGTAAAATCTTTGTGCAGGCCAGTCAGGAATGTCCACTTGTTTCTTCTTCCGTTTTGGATTGTGTAGGAAGACAAAGTCATGATCCAGACCCATTTTTTGCTGATGAATGATAAAGGTGTTCTTTAAAAATCTTTATAAATATATGCTTCTTTCTTCACGATTCCTTCTACCTTGACAATATTCCAGTTCCAGCAGAGTATCTGACAGCTAGGATGGTGTAGGTGTTGATTTCCGGGTTATGTTCTTCCCATTCAGCTGACTCTTCAGGAGTCTGACCCTCTGCAGGTATTTGGTGGTTAGAGGGTTTCCTAGCGGCCTCTTCGTGGTTTCCATTTGCCTGAGTAGCCGTCCTCAATGTCTATATGTTGCTTTCTGGTAGTTCGATCCCCTCAGTTCTGTCTACCTTTCCTCTCTTTGTTACCATCCGACTATAATACTCTAGTTCGAATGACATTCCCACGTCATTGTTGTACATTCTAGTGGTGTGATCAGTGAGTCGATGTCTGGTTCACTCCTGCCATACAGCTTGATGTCATCCATGTACAGGAGGTGGTTAACAACTGCTCCATTCTGTAGTCGGTACCCATAGGCAGTCTTGTTAATGATCTGGCTGAGGCCCATACAGAACAGTAGTGGGAGATTTACCAAGCCCCCTGAGCTTGGTAAATCTTGTGCTATTGGCTAAAGCTTGGTGTTGTACGCCACATTCCTAACGAATTCCTGATGAAGATTCTTAAGGTTCTGTTCTTTCTGCAGTTGTAGGCATTCCAGGATCCATGTTTGGGGCACTGAGGGGATTACTTGTAGTCAACCCATAGTTAAGGTTTGGTCCCTCTGGTGTTTCTGCCAGTTCCTTCCTGGCACCCACTCATGTATTGAGCCATGTGCCTGTTAATCTTAGCCGCTATGATGGAGCTTCCATGTGGTGCTGAGCCAAGTTATGGCCAGTAGTTGGACGGGACTGGTTCCTTCTGAGGGTCCTTGGAATCAGGACTGTCCTGCCTTCAGTTATTGTAGGTGTGTCTCATCCATGGACACTCTGGAGTGCAGTTAGCTTCTATAGCCGGTAGGCGTGAATCATGTCAGCGTCTGGTTGCTGTCCAACTCTTCGGGCTTGAGACTCTTTCTTGCATGTCCACTACTGTGATGGTTATTTGTTCAGGAAGGAACCTTCTCATCTCCCCTCTACCCCTTGTTTACTTCCAGCTTGGGGACAAGAAGCTGGCCCACAGTGCCCAAATGTACCACTACCAGCACCAGAAGCAACAGATGCTCTCCCTGAGAAAGTGAGTCGCCCTCCCTGCACAGACATGTTCATCCTACCTTGGCATGTGTATCTCTATCCTGTCTCGCTGTTATCCTTGCTGAATATTTGTGTGTTCTCCGCAGACACAGGGTTGAGCCTAAAGTTCCTGACTCTGCAGCCTCAACAGATGAGGAGAATGAGGATGGAGATTTCACCGTGTATGAGTGTCCTGGACTTGCACCAGTGAGTAAACGCTGCATTCTTATCTCCACATTCAGTAAAAGTTCAACTGTGTCCACTGTGTCATTGTGATGGTGTAATGCTGAGTCAGTGGAATCCATCAACAAGAAATAAGGATAACATTAAGGCATAATGTGGGTACAGATACAGCCACTGAACCGACAGGACAGTTGTGAGTGTGTGACAGATTCCTGACTGATTACAGCTGATGTTTGGCGGTAACGATATTCCCCGCCTGTGATGTGAACGATGCAACCATGAGTAGTAACGCCGCTAAACAGCATTTAGGAAAACTGTTGGTGTGTATCCAAAAGCAGTGTGATGGTGCATCCATTTACACGCTGGCTGCACTGTATATTTATATCTTTTAAATTGGTTCAGGGATTCAGTAAACTCTGACACAACCGGCAGTTCTCACCATTTACACTTTCCCAGTAAGTTATCAGTCACAGTGGAAACGATCACAGTCATATCTGCTTATTTAAGTCGTCTGCCGCTAATCTTAGTGCATCGCTTTTGTGATGTTAAGACTCTGGTTCAAAAATGTTGTGCTGTGAAAGGGACGCTCCGAATCCAGGTGCATGTCCTGCAAATAAGTGTCCAACCTGCAGTATTTAACTAGTTAGCTAGTTAGGCAGCTGTGGGTGTAAAAACTCCATGTGCTGACAGGTAAGAGAGAATTAGAAGTTATTAGCGTTCAACCTGGTCCTAATGAGCGACTGTGCAAACAGCACCCACAGCCAACACTTTGAGATATGAACATGGGAGATTATTTACAGCTGATACTGATTTTATACATTTTCTGTATCATTTCCTGGGATTGTGCAATCAAACCACCATCATCATCATCATCATTGTCATACCCGTCAACCTGAATTTAAGGAATAAATCACACAAAAGTTATGGGAAACTACAGGAACTGTCTGAATAATGACAATGAATAAATAAACCCTTTAATAAGTATTTTAAAAATTATTATGTAGATTATGTCATTTTTATGTAGCTGTCTTAACAGTAGTTTTACTAATAATGTATGGATTGCACAATACACAGCGTGTAATCCAGAAGAAGGTTCATTCAGCACTCACTGTGGCCGGGTTTGTATTGTCTCCAACGCTGTTTCTGTGTGAAGAGCAGGAAGGTTTCTCAGAGATTCTCTATGCAACACTCGACCCTTTCAGCTGCTCTTTCAATCTTTCTGAACTCTGCAGAGTCAGAACAAAGACTTAGAGTCATGAGACGGAAAAGATGGAACACAAAACAAAAAATAAGAGCAAAGTAAGCGCAAAGATATATGAGAAGCATAAGCAAACTAAGGAATAAACTGATGACATTAAACAATAACTGAACTTCCCAGGGCCAAGACAGGAAGTGTGTTAATCTAAGATCTTCCCCTCTGTCTCTTTCTTCTCCTTCAGACGGGGGAAATGGAGGTGAAGAACCCATTGTTTGACGACTCCACCCTCTACCTGCAGAGATTCCACAAATGAACCTGGACACAGAGACGTTTCATGCTCTAAAAGCAGCACCTGTATGTACAAATATTTACACGTCAGTTTAATTGTTCCAGTGCGCAGATCGGACACATACCCTAAACAGCCAAACTACATTTGGTTTTTCCCGTTTTGTTTACATATTTCTTTACTGTTTATTACACACATATGCAACCATACATGCTCAGCATTTATGAGCTCACTGATAGAACAGGCTTTGCTTTTATTTCAGCATTTTTAAATGGATGTAATGTTGATATGAACACAACTTCTCTTGTGTGTTATGTACACATTGTTTTTCAGTTGATTTCCGTCTTGCTGACACCATGTCTACATGCATCTGCATTCTTACAGTTCATCCAAGAAATTTAAATATTAGACAAAGATAACACAAGTAAATTAAATGTATAACTGAAGGTGTTTGTGATTAAGAGGGGAAAAATCCAAACCTGCACAGCCCTGTGTGATGAAGCGAGTGGGAATGTGGACTGACGAGACAAAGGTTGAACTTTCTGGAAGGTGTGTGTCCCATTGCATCTGGTGTAAAAGTAACACAGCATTTCAGAAATGGGACATCATACCAGCAGTGATATATGGTGCTGCTGGTGTGACAGTCTGGGCTGTTTTGCTGTCTCAGGACCAGAAGACTTGCTGTGGTAAATGCAAACATGAATTCTGCCAACGACCAAAACATCCTGAAGGAGAATGTCCGACTATCTGTTTGTGACCTCGAGCTGAAGCACATTTGGGTTCTGCAGCAGGACAATGATCCAAAGCACACCAGCAGGTCCTCCTCTGAATGGGTTAAGAAACACAAAATGAAGACTTTGGAGTGGCCGAGTCAAAGTCAAGACCTGAATCTGGTTGAGATACTGTGGCATGACCTAAAAAGGTGGTTCATCCTCGGAAGCTGTTCTGTGTGACTGAATTACAAGAATTGTGCAAAGAGGAGTGAGACACAACTCCCCGACAGAACTGCAGAAGACTGCCAGTTATCACAAACTTCGGATTGCAGCGGCTTAACCAGTTGCGCGCACACACACACACACACACACACACACACACACACACACACACACACACACACACACACACACACACACACGTATAATTTGAAAATTCTGTATGAACTCAGATGGTCTTGTGTATTTGGTCTACAGCTGACATTGTGTTTTCATGGTTTTGTGAGCTGTAACTAGTGGCTGATATGTACAGGAGCTATCTTACCTCTCAGTCAGTCAGTGTGGCAGGAGGTCCTGAGTACTGTGTCAAATGCACATCTGTTATTCGATTTCTTAATGTGAATTTGTATTTGTTGGGAAAAGACAATGTCATGTATAACACGTTAAACTTGATGCATTCGACTTTTGTACCCATTGTGACGAAAGCAGCGAGGAGCCACACCTTCACGTTCTACATCCCCGCCCAGTTTTACTTTGAAGAGGTCTCGACCTGCTGAGGCGTCAACAAAAATATGAGAAAAAAGGAAAATTACATGTAGCTGTGGACACGTCGCCATAAAAGAAACTTAAAATCAAAGAATCCGAACAAAAGAAACGACTGAGAATATTTTAAAAACGGCGCCGGCCACAGTCCCCAGAAATATACAACTTAAAGCGTCGCAGAAACAGCGTTCCCTTTATGCATCAACAGCTGCAGTGTGCGATTGCAGCCTTTTCCAACATTGAACTGATTCCAAAGCTTTTAAATTTACTCCCTGGGAGATGGGGACATTTTGAAATGTATTCTAGAGAAAGCAGAACATGTGTTGGCACACACTGGATCAGGTTTTCTTTCCTTTGTCAAATCTATGTTTGTGCATTTTACTTTGTCCTGCATAATAATCACTCAAAGAACATGAAGTTTGATTTATGATTTTATTTAAATATTATGGATTGAATATTACACTCACTGTTACGATATTTCCATCGATGCATAAATGCAAACGTGCAACAAATCCTCCCTTTATGATCGTTCAAACTGTTTACCTGCACTGTACAGAGTGTTTCTGTCATTCATCATCATGTAAAGGCCATCCATATAATTCAGCTGCCCGTGTTCCAGGGCTTTTACATTACACTGCATTAGTTTTATCCAATAACCTGCCTACTGAAGGTACAGTATGCAGTCCATGTAGTGGGCTCTGCCTAATAAAGCGCACCGTTATAATCAATGCAGAAATCTCCTTTTCTTTGCAGACTTCATAACGGTCTCTGTCACTAACAGCAGAAACTCTGGATTTTTATGTTGACTGGGCGTTCTCTGCTTTTCCTGTACTAGAGCTGTTCGTCTGACCTGGTTAGGACTTAATATGCACAGCTGCCTTTCTATATATGCTCATATCGCCCCACATAGCTCATAGATATTCTTCATACATGTAGAATGAGTGTCCAGCTGCAAACAGTGAAACAGTCCAGGAAACCTGGATGTAACCGCGTCTCTCAGGAAAGCCGCTGTCTGCGGCTCTTTCTTCATCCTGCTGCCGTCCTCCTCAGCCTGTCAGCACTTCCATACTGGAGGAACACATTAATCTGCACTGGAGCTGCTCATGTTCGAGTGTCCACGTCCAAACTCACATATGTACCAGGGAATATTAACACGGAAGCCCTTTACTATGTTAAACAGACTGTTGAATCCAAACCTCTTAAGCTTGTGCAGCAAAATGAGTCGTTGGATGAGGAATTACAAGAAGAGATGTAATTCTCATGTTGTTTGTCTTTGTAAAGACGTTCTGCAGCTCTGCTTCACCAGTGCTGAGCAAAAGCCCAGCTGGTTGTCTTTATTTGCTCCTTCTTTCTGTGTACAACAAGTCATTCTCTACATGAGCTACATGTGAGACTGTTTGAAGGCTAAGTGTTATGATTCTGTACATTTAGGACAACTTCATTACTTCATGTTTAGCATGCTTGTGGATATACCAGAGCTGAAAGAAATAAATATTTATATAATCGCTGTCTGAGTAGTTGTAAAGTGTTTGTTTTTCTTTCTTTGTTGGTTTTTTTGCATCATCTTAATCCAATATTTCATAGGTTAGCAAATATTTCTGTCCAATCTTAATTCAAGGAGGAATGTTTCTCTGGTATGAAACTGAACCCTGCTGTTTCACAAACCTGTACATATGCAGTAAACATGCACTGCATCGACATCAGCACTGTGACAACTATATATTATCTTTTTGTTTTTGTTAATAAAACATTGTATAAAAGTTTAAATATGATGGTTATGATTAAGACCTGAGCACTCTGTGAAAGCCTTACTGTATCTGCTCTGATTACTGATATTCAGGCAAATGCATGGTCTTCCTAAGGGCCTAAACATACTGTAAAACTCTACACATGCATCAGGTCTTTTGAGGATTTGGAGAATATAAAAAGGCTCCACAGCGCCACGTCTGAAAGTATTCCCAGCGTGCAGCTGACCATATGGTCCACAGCTGTAACAACCCAACACATAAAAAAACGCTGTGTGGGTCCGTGGTGCATCACACATGTCTTACTCTTTCAGGTACAGCTTCAAGGTGGTTGATCAGAGCCATCTCAAATTTTGTCAGAAAAATGTAAAGGTGTTACTTTATGTTCAAAGTTGTGAGTTTTAATCCGAGGACATGACCCTAGCATCATGAGAACTTTTGATATGTTGCCATGAAGCATGCAATTTCAGACTAAAAAACAGCGTGTCCAATGTGTACAGGGACTGAAAGTTTCTCGCACCGAGGGTAAATCGAGACTTTACAGAGTCCAGGCCCTCTCCGTGACACTGCTTCAAGAGTCAGAGCTGTGTGTTGAGGCGAGCCTGACTATATTAGCCAGTATCTCTCAACCTCACACACCAGCTCAAGCTTCTTCCATGTCCCAGTAGCCCAATAGATTGGATTGCCAGGGCCTCTGCCGTTGGCCGCCACCCAACACACATTGCACCCAAACCCAATGGTGTCTCCTGAAGGGGGTCGGCCTATCGCAGAGCAGGCCCCATGGGGAAAGCTTCAGCCACCAGGTCCTCTCCGTTGAGCTCCTTCCCCAGGCCTGGCTTCAAGTTGGGGCCCTGGTAAACCTATCCTGGGCAGGATACAGTAGCTCTTGCTTATTCCTCTTTTGTAAGTGTTAACTGAATTGTTTTTGGTCTGCCCCCTTCACCCAGAACCAATTTGCCTTAAGAGACCCTACCAGAGGGTAAAGCCTGACAACATAGGTCCTGGACTCATAGGGTCACACAAACCCCTCCACCATGGTAAGGTGGTGGCATTATTATTATTACTATTCTCATTATTATTATTCTTAAAAACATTTTTCTAATACATTAAGCTGCCAAAACAGCTCTGGCTCGTTAGGCCATGCACACTCATAGGTCGTTGCTTCAAGCCTACGATCACACTCTGAAATCCTAAATATTGGGACGTGGGTGTGTTCTGGGTATTGCCATATGTGATGGAGTTCATTATGCTTCCTACTGTCCAAGAATACTGTTGACATGCTGACGTTGCATCAACACCAGGTCTCAGGGTTTCAGAATATTGCATTTCAGATTGTTGCAATCATCTCTGTGCTGCAGCATAAGTGCACCAGGCTCCAGTTTTTTACCAATTATGTGGTCATGATTGACATTGTGCCTGCAGACAGCTTCAAGTACAAGTGGAAAAAGGCTTCAGAAACCACTGAGCTCCAGGCTCCATGGTACACATACATGCACCCTGTCAGTCCCACAGCTACAGTGTATTTATCTTACAGACATTCTCTGACAATCTGAATGGGAGCAGTTTGTGTCATGGTCCTGCGACCATGACTCAGTGACTTTGTGTTTGTGTTCTTTATTGTTATTATTCTTGGGCTGTTTTGGGATGGTTTGTGTTTGGGATTTTAGACACTGGGTTCTGGGTTTGTGCTCCCTCTGTTGGTCCCTGGTGTCAGTGTTCCCCTGTCTCGTCAGGTTAATCAGGTCCAGCTGTTTCCCCCACCTGTGTGTGATTTCCCAGTGTCTCTTTGTGTACTTATAGTGTGATTTCCTCTGCTCCTCGTCGCGTTGTCTGTGTTCATACCTGGTGTAATCCCCTGCGTGCTCTCCCTTCATGCTCAGGTTTGCTATTTCTTTGTGTAGTTTCTCCCAGTTAGTTCATCCTTAGTTCTGTTTTACCATCCCCACTTTATATTGGATATTATCAATAAATCACCCTCACACCTGAATAAGTGCTGCGTTTTGAGTCCTCCTTCCGCTCTCCACACGGCCGCTGCCCCAGACCGTGACAGTTTGTGTGTTTGTAGAGCTGTTTGAAGTTATTACTGAGCACAGTTCCACATCGTTCCAGCTTTCACATATGTGCGCTATATAAATATGCACCACATATATTAACTAAGTACAACTATACTGTATGGTGTTTCCTTTCAGCACATTTGACTGACATGCAGTAATAAATAATAAAGGT